GAGAGAGAGAGAGAGAGAGAGAGAGAGAGAGAGAGAGAGAGAGAGAGAGAGAGAGAGAGATTAAACAAGCCTGCAAAGTTTAGAATTTTGGGACAAGTTGTTGAGGCATCTTGTCATGAGCTGACTTCAGGGGTTCAGACTGAGAATTATGTGCGAATGAGATGTCCACAAGCCTGCAAAGCTCCTTTGTTTCTCCCAAGTCGTGAGTTCTAGGTGTCCAGTGCCAACTGCTCAGGCTCACGTCTCAGTGTCCCACGTTCTGACGCTCAGCTGCTCTCTTTCCAGTCACTACTAGTTTCAAACTCTATGTGCACTTTCCCAAAATAGCAGTGCGCTAACTTTTCCCCGATTCCCAAATCCCCAGTCCCGATTTTCAAGCTCCTACTGGCAGTGCCAAGGTCCAAGTACATTTGCCAGTTCCAAGTTGTGCATTCCAAGTTCCTGGTCCAGTAGGCTGTAGCTAGTGCCAAGTTCCTGGTCCAGTAGCTAGTGCCAAGTTCCTGGTCCAGTCGCTAGTGCCAAGTTCCTGGTCCAGTTGGTAGGGCCAAGTTCCTGGTCCAATCGCTAGTGCCAAGTTCCTGGTCCAGTGCCTGGTCCAGTTGGTAGTGCCAGTGCCTGGTCCAGTCAGTAGTGCCAAGGTTCTGGTCCAGTTGCTAGTCCCAAGGTCCTGGTGGTCCAGTGGCTAGTCCCAAGTTCCAGGTCCAGTCCCTGGTCCAGTTGCTAGTCCCAAGTTGCGGATCCCAGTTCTCAGCTCCAAGCTCCTGTGCCAAGTTCCAAGTTCCTGATCTCTGAGTTTGGCGTTCTCAGTTCCAAGTTCCCACTCCGCAGCTGCAAGCCCCCAGTTCTAAGGGCCAAAATCTGGAGGCTTGCATTTTTGCTCGACTGCCAAGTCCCCCAATTTCCTCCTCGTTCCAAGGTCCAAATCCTTTAACCAGATCGCGAGGTTCTAGAACCAGCAATGTCCATGATCCCAATCTGCAACTCAAAATCCCAAGTTTCCAACTTCCCTCGTCTTCTCATCGTAAGACCTCAGTCCCAATTTCCTAGGCCGTGTTCCCAAGTTCCGTGTCCTCTGTGCGAAGTTCCCTGTCCCTAGTCCCAAGTTCCTCTCCCAGTCCACAATTCCAAGTTCCAAGCGTCCGGTCCCTCATTCCCATCCCCTTTTCCTCCTCTGTTGCAAGTTCCCCGTCCTCAGTAGGTTACAAGTCCAAGTTCCAAGTTCCAAGTCCCTGGTCCCAAGTCTTCAGTTCCAAGTTACCAGTCCCTGGTCCCAAGTTCTCAGTCTTCAGTTCCAAGTTCCAAGTTCCAAATTCCCACTCTCCAGTCCTCAGTTCCAAGTTCCTAGTCCCTATTCCAGGTTCCTAGGTAGTTCTGGCTTCTTAGTTCCTACTACTTCCTAGTCCTCAATTTTTTAGTTCCATGTCCCTGTTCCTCAGTTCCAAGTTCTCGGTCCTGAGCCTGAAGTTCCCAGGTCTCAGTTCCAAGTTCCAAGTTTGCAGTCCCTCATTGCGAGTTTTTTGTCCCACATCCTAAGTTCTCAGTCCCTGGTTCCAAGTTCTTGGTACCTGGTCTTCAGGTCCACGTTCCCAGTCCCCAGTTCCAAGTTCCCAGACCTGGTCCTCAGTACCAGGTTCCCAGTACACCTGGTTCCCAGTTGTAAGTTCGCAGTACCTGGTCCGCAGTTCTCAGTTCCAAGTTCCTCATTTCCAAGTTCCCAGTGTCCGTTTTTAAGTCTGTGGCAACAGTCTTTACCAGCTCGCCCCTGCAGATACCAGGTGTACCTGGTCCCCAGTTCCACGTTCCCAGTACCTGGTCCCCAGTTCCAAGTTCCCAATGACAACTAGTCCTCAGTTCCACATTCCCAGTACCTGGTCCTCAGTTCCAACTTCCCACTGGGCCACTGTCCGTTCCTTCACTTCTGTGGTCCCCCTGGCTTGTCAAACTCCTGGCCACAGTCTGTACCAGTTCCATGTTCCCAGTACTTGGTCCCCAGTTCTAAGTTCCCAGTACCTGGTCCCCAGTTCTAAGTTCCCAGTAACTGGTTCCCACGTCCGAGTTCCTAGTACCTGGTTCCCAGTTCCATGTGTCCAGTACTTGGTCCTCAGTTCCACGTTCCCAGTACCTAGTTCTGAGTTCTCAGTACCTGGTCTGCAGTTCCACGTTCCTAGTGTCTGTCCCTTACCTTCTGTGGTCCTCCTGGCTTGTCAAACTCCTGGCCACAGTCTGTACCAGCCTGCCCATGCAGATACCAGCCCACTCACGCCAAGCGTCAATGGATGCGAGACGAAGGGGTTTGGTTCGACGTCGTTGATAGCGATGATCAGATCTGCCGCGCAAGCCGCAATTGAGCAGAGACGCATCACACGATCCATTCGCAGTTGGGAAATCCTGGCCCTCGCTTTGTGCATCTCCGTCGAGGAAGGATTGCCAGGGTCTTCCCTTTCCAGTTGGCGAATCTTATCCCTTACCCGACGCTCCTCGGAGAGTCCTCGAGATATAAAGATCGAATCGGCCATCATGGCGAAGATGTACCCGAACCCCTCGCCGAACGCCGAGTAGAAACATGAACGCGGGGCCAGTGCGGGATTGAGGAAACCGACTCGTGAAAAGAATGTGATGTGGTCAAAGAAGAAATAAATCATCTCGCCGGCATTTGCGAGAATGGCGAGCCCGCAGACTTTCCAGTCAGGATAGGTAGTTTTCCGCAGACAATTGAACCCCGTAAGGAACCGCCCGGAGCGGAACGCTTTCCGCGCAATCCCTGAAGCGAGCTCGAGTTTCTTGAACCGGTCGGCGACGTCCGGGTGTCGATGCTGCGCATAAAGATGCATCAACTTTCCCACATACTGGAATGTCTTCACTAGTTTATCGATGCCGTCGCGTTTGGCAAGGAACGTCACCAGCTTATCTAATCCATCAACATGCTGATTAGCCATCGCGAGATCCTCCTTAGCTCTGCCCACCCAAGGCCCCGCTAAGTCGCACGCCCACTCCTCCCTACCTACCAAGTTCTCTCGGCTCTCTATCTATAGATATATCCTCTTTTCCATGTCATAGCACATATATCTCACACCCACACAAGCAAACATCCAAAAAAAAACATAATCTCCAAAGACGCAAAGCTCACACGAACATGTGCCAACACGCGGACCCCCTTACATATGCACTAGCCAGGGATGGGTAGCTGATCGGGGAAGGAGTTGGGGTCCCAAGTTTCTCAAATTGGGACGTACTGGCAAACAGGAAGCATTGTCGACAGATATCATAAGACCACTCTCTCCCTCCCTCCCTCCCTTCCTCCCTCCCTCCCTTCCTCGCTCCCTCCCTAGATCCCTCCTTCCCTCCCTCCCTAGATCCCTCCTTCCCTCCCTCCCTCCCTCGCTCCCTCGCTCCCTCCC